ACAATTGAATTTGAGGTGTAGGTTGATCATTACTCACTTGCATGGATTTCCACAGAGGGAACAAGAGCTGGGCTGGGAGCTTCTCTCAGAAATCTCCCAGCCCAGGGAGATTTCTTTTCAGTTAGAGTGCAGATCACATAGGAGATTTCAAACCATTTAATTGATGGCAGAATATGGCAACAGCAAAGAGAGAAATAAATTGATGCTGGAATAACAATTGGAAGAAGGGGTATTTTCCCGCTGTACAAAAGTGCACGATGCAAAAAAGAGAGGAGATTACTAAAAGCCAGGAGGCATGAGGTGGGACTTGTGAGGGCAAAAGATTAGGACAGAAATAAGACACTTAGAGAGTGGCAAAAGCCTTTTTCTGATGTGGAAATGCAAATTAGGTTTTCTGGATGTCACTGCTCCTCTAGTCTTGGTGAATATGTAGCTGTGAAACTTGCTGCCAGCGTGACTAGTTCCCTTGTAGGATCGACACTCTAATGACCCAGGCCATGGTCAGGGGCAATCCTTCAGCTCACCAAGTCAGGGACTGAGCAGAGGGTCACTTTAGAGCCCTCTAGACATCAGCACAATACCAAGCAATGAGACCTTTTGATGCAGACTGAAAGAGGAGCAGGATTCAGTTTGTGTCTAAGCAACTAAACAGGAGAAATTCATGCAAGTGAATACAAGCTTCCCAGAACCAGGTAAATCTGTAATTAACTCTACTTCCTAGGTATATCTTGTAACTTTGGTGCAGCTGTTAACATGCCTGAGGAGCCAATCTTAGAGCCTGGACCCCTGAGACCTGTGTAAGAGACCCAAGCCTACCTTATAACAAGGTAAATGAATCAGCAGGGCCCAGGCAGGCTGTTTAGCAACAGTCTATTGGTTAAAATCCTCACGTCGATGCAGGCTGTTTTCACTTTCAGCAGAACAGCATTTTCCAAAAATGTGCTGATCAGCTCTAATTATCAAGGTTACAAACTGAATCACTCAAAAGGTAAGAAATGCCAGAATCTGTGCTGCCTGGGTAACCTTGCTGCTCACATGCACGCCCCTTGCACATGCCTTATGATACAGTCTATAATTATCTGATTGCTTGTTATTTTTGCCCCTGTATCATTGGAGGCATGGGATGCACCTGCAGCAGGGATGAATCAGAGTGAAGCAGTGAAGGTGGTTGCTCTCCTTAGACATCCTGTTTTGGTTGGTGTAAAGACATGTAGGCTGAATACAGTGGGCAAAGAAAGTTTAAGGCACAAATTATGGCAAAAAATGCAGATCAGAAGACCTAGCTCTAGCCAAACCTCCACCATGGGAATCCTCCAAGGTTCTGGTCAAATCACTTAAGCTAAATTTTGGACAGATGATTCTTCAGAGGAGACCCAAACTGCTCTGAAAAGCAATACCTCAGAAAGAGATGAAGGAGATTTATGAAGCCAAGAAATACCACCTTTATTTTGTGCTTTCTGTGTACCTCAGTTTAGACCTTGGGTTTTGATTTACAGAGCTTTGGAGCAGTCACACCTGCAACCAAAATCAATAATGGGAGCTGTACTTTGACGGCATAAAGCATTGTACAGTGCAATGCTAACATCTCTGTGGGGAAAAACATCCAAATGCAGATCCTAAACTCTGCTAGCTGGGAACACAGAGCTAATGGAAAACCTGGACCTTCATGTCCCTGTACCCTGATTCTCCACCTAGACAGTTTGAATAACAATCATATACCTCACACACCAAGGACATAATGAAAATAAATATAATGCATATCTGAGAAGCATACAGACTGTAAAATAAAAAGCCACAAGCAAATTAATAGCTTTGTCTTATTACAGAAGAGGCAAGTGGTAAATAAGGCACAAAGCCAAGAAAAGCAATAAGGAGGTGCCAGATAGCTAAAAAGAACATTACACAGCACTGATGCTTGCTGTGCCCTGAAGGAGGAAGGGATCCTAAGGAAAAGTAGCAGAATCTTTTTATCTAACTGAAGATTGCATCAGAAGTCATGGATTGAGAGAGGTGATGGTCAGTGTTTGATGACACAGTAAATCCAGTTTAAGGCTTCCTAGAACTGGGAAATAGGCATAGCACCACAATAAGAACGGTGGTTAAGTTTGATTTTTTTTCCAAAAAAGCACAATTTTAACAAAACTTGGATAATAATCACAAATTTTAAGTTCATAAACTCAGGTTTTATGTTTGTCAAAGTATTATTCTTTCACAGAAGACAACATGGAAAGATAGGACTGACACAGGTACTTGATTTGGAGTTTGAAGTGCCTGGTGTGCATGCATTGTAATGGCAATGCTTCTGAATGGGAAACCTAGCACAGGTTCTAAACATTAGCCTGTCTTTGTCTACTTGATTTTGAAAACTTAACAAATTTAACAGACCTTTCCTCCACTCTCCTGTCTGTTATATGGAGGCTGTGTAGAGTTGCTTGAAACAGTCCATAGCAAACGAGCAGCCAAATTTACCTACTTGCATCACTGTATTCAGCAGAAAGCTTCAAACCCATTCTTACCCTATCTCTGAAACATTTGTATGCTGAAAAATAGAATGCAATATTCCAAAATAACTATATTGTGCCACAACTTTAGTTAAATGATTACTATTCCCTAGTGTTAGAATTTTTGAAAGACTTCCAAGATACAATTTTGTTTTGTTCCTTTTGAAGATGTCCATTATTCTGAATAATCCTTCGGATCAGAAGAAAACTTGAGTGTGAGGCATTTTTCAGAAAACAGTTTTCTTTTGCAGACTTAGAACAGAAAAATTCTGAAAACAATATTCATTGTTATTCTTGATCAAAATCTTCAGATTTCTTTTTTTGCCAAGTTCGAAATTTTCAACTACAAAAATTCATTTTGAAGCCTGAAATACTTTTTTGTCATTTTTTTTCCCATTCAGTACAGAACTACTCTATGCCAAAGATGAATTTAATCTCCACAAAGCCAAAACTTCAGTTTTTAACCACATTGCACATTCAATCCCTGAAACAGCAAAGACAGAAACAGAACAGCATTTCAGTAGGCAGTTACCATCAGGACGTTGTGGCACACTCTAGTTTGTTGAAAAAATATAATGTAATATCAAACTGAGGCAAAATCTGTTCAGTTCCTTGGCTACATGAATTGCTGGATTAGACAGTGCAAGAGCAATAGAAGCTTCTCTAACTTCTCTTGTCACTTAGGTTGCTTCCCTTGTGCCTGTGAACCAGTACAAACTTAAACATAATTAGCTAAACTTTATATTTTTCCCTGCTAAAGTAGCACCAATTTTGGGTGAGACACTGAGCTGCCAGAAGGGTGTATCTCAAGAAACAAGGTGGCCATTTGATCTTCTTGTGACACCGGAGCGCTCTTTAAATGGGACACAACTTTAATCTATACCTGCTCTACAGACACTTCCACTGCCAAGCAGCCAACAGAAGCTTTCATACCGAGGAGACACAGGCACAGAGTGCTCAGTACCTTCCAGAGACATGAACTTAAAATGCTTTCACTGTTCTTCCTAAACAACATGAGCACTGGGCACCCCTCAGCCAACAAACCATGATGCCCAAGCAGCACCCAGAAGGCTGCCCATGGCTCCAGGAGAGCAGGGCAGGAGGACAAAGGTGGTGCTCAGTGTGCAGGAAAAACATGGACGAGCTGGTCTCCAAAGAGCAAAAGCATATCCCACCCATGCTCCCAAAAATCCCATCCCTTTCTTCTTCTGGGCACGTTGAGCCAAAGAGCATCACACAAGTCTTCCTTCTGAAAAATGTCTTTGTAAGTAGTGTTCTGTACAACAGTTTGTTTTCATGTTTTCATTTTAAATCTTTATTTAGCTGAAAAGCAGTTCAAAGCACTTGAAGGTTGAACTGTTAAAGATCCCCCCATAACATGCTAGCATCATTCCTCTTCAGGATACAGGACTGTTCTCCCAAATAAATTGGTTTGTTGGAAAATATTTTCATACATTTTCAGCTAAAAAAGTATCCCAGTGGAGGAATTTATCCATTTCACATTGCTCATGCACACAAAATCAAGCACAAATGTTTTTAGAGTCTATAAAATGTACATTTTGGGAAATTCCCATACCAAAAATGGGGAAATGGGGCTCTGACACGGAAATTTAAAGGCTTAATGTGCTCAGTACAAGTAATCAAGTTCATGGCCTGAAGTGAAGGAGTCACATGAAATGAGCATAAAAATATTGTAGTGGGATTAGGTCATCATCGTAAGTTCTTCCCAACTGAAATTTCTATTCTTTCTATTCTTTCTATTATTCTATTATTCTATTATTCTATTATTCTATTATTCTATTATTCTATTCTATTCTATTCTATTCTATTCTATTCTATTCTATTCTATTTCTATTCTATTCTATTTCTATTCTATTTCTATTCCATTCCATTCCACTCCATTTTGTCTTTCTATCAGAAAAATCTCCATGGACAAGATTCACAGAATTCTCTCAGATGTCAGTTAAGTATCTTTCCTAGTTTACTTTTCATTCTCTCATGATCTCTACTATTGAATATTATTTGTACATCTTGTATGCCTTAAATTCTTATAATCAAGTGTTAATATGTGTCATAAGTATGGATAAAGTCTTTTTTTCCTCTCTTAGGCCTTTGGTTCTACAAACTCAGCAAGAAAAAATTCAGAACTTTAACAATTGACTCATTGACTGGCATTAAGATTCCTTTGTAGATATTTGGAGTTATACTTTGTGTGCTTGATTTTTTTGCTTTGTTGTTTTGCTGTGTTGGCTGGAAGAACTCTGCTAAAATTTACCTGACATTCAGTTTAATTTCTTGTGTTTAGGGCTGTACAACATTCCATGTAAAGTTAATCAATACAAGGATTTATGAAACATCGAAACAGAACAGTCTAAAGGAGGAAATTATAGTCAGTTCCAGTTATTAAAGATTTCCTATACTAAATTTAGTATAAGAGAATCCTTATACATCTTCTTTTAGGGTATTTGTCAAGTGCACAGACTGAAGAAACAATTGTTGTTGGTTCCACTGCAATGTGTCTTTATTTGCTGCTTGCTATTTAATGCTAGCTGGAAGGAAGCAAACCATGTCATGTGGAGGTGAAATACTGATTCGATTTTAGTCACTAGCAGCTCTTCCATTAATTTCTTCTGAAATTTTACCTGATGTGCAAACCCTGTGCAATGGAAAAAGGAACAGCAAATTTTATAAGATGAAAATAGGATGAAAATATACATGACTTGGCATCCTTCCTATATTCAGTGGTCTCACACTGCAAGCCACATTAGGTATGTATATACATACATATTCATACATATAGGCATCTACAGGCATTTATAACAGGTATATATATAAAAGAAAGATCTTCATGTATCATTACCTAGTTTAAATGCAGGATTTGGAGTCAAATACATTTGTTTCTTTTCAGGATTAACAATATATTTGCTAATCTTGTTTACCTTCAATATTTATCAAAGACTTTTGCCTCTACTTTCATTTGTTCTCATGACTAATCAGAATGCTTTATACAGCAAATTTTATGAAGATATTTGTGTCTCAGAACACTTTGACTACCTAAAACTTATATAGACTTTTAAATATTTATTTTGGAGGACTTGAATATATTCACAATTCTGTTTTCTGTACTTTAGTTTACAAACAAAAAAAAAGGTGTTTTTTTTAAAAAAATAAGATTTCATTCATATAATGAACTGTCCATCTACACTATATATGTATGTGTGTGTATATATATATATATACACACATGCATGTATATACCTATGTTTTTTATGTACATATGCAAGCACACACACACGTACCCTACGATGTTTGGTTACCTTATAATAACATTGAAAGTATTTACACCAAAACACTCACCTATCATAATATACTTAATCTGTCTCTTTCATAAATCGCCTTGTAAATAATATTTCAATACAAGAACATACAGATCTCTTAAGAACTTAAAAAAAATAAATTATGAGCACATGTCAGTTCAAGTCCAGTTACTTGGCTAACTTGTCCATTTCTGTAGGCACTGACCTGAAGCTAAAACACTTCATTTTTTTATTCTCTCCAAATGTAATCTGAAATCTTAATTAGTCACTCATTTTGCTTTTGTGAACAACTTCTCAAACCAAAAATTACTGTCTAGCTTCTATTGCTTCTCTTCAGTTGCCTAGCATGTCTCTGGTACTCCATGACACTTCAGTAAGTGAGTTGCTAATGAGTCATTAATGATTTAAAATATTTTCTCATGAAGTTCTGATTTGCAGACAGCTCCTCTTGCCTCTTGTCCTTCCTTCACTTACAAACTGGAACATAATGGGACTTATAAAGAGAAAATAATAAACAATAAAAAACGAATTTCATTGACATACAGACCCCACAGAAAACTAGCTTATACAAAAGGCAGAGTGCTCCAACTATATGTTTTCTTTTTAATATGACAACACTGTTCTGTACACTATTATTTTTAACAAAAAAAAGTTTAATAATGCAGAATATAATAACAAACCACAAACAGGAAAACAAGGTGTAGTTCAGTTCTCGTTGTCACTTCCTTCTATCAGACACTGGTCATCCGGCAAAAGGCAAATTTTCAATTGTTCCAGTTTGTTCATGTTAGTACTACCTATCTTCCTCAAAATTACTCTTTGTTTTTTTTACAAGAAGATTCTTTGGAAACAATTATCAGCTGCATTGTGGAGAGCAACTTGTACACATATGAGCAAAACAGACATTTTATCACTGCAATTCATATACATTTACTATATGATATAGTTATAGCCTCCTGTTAATTGCACAACAAAGCTCAAGATAATAAAATATTTACTGTAGCCAAAGCTGGATTGCTTTTCAAAAGGAGTAATTTTGGGGTCAAGCAACAATCTTTTTCCTTTAGTCCTCGTTGGAAAAAAAAAATAAATAAAAGTCCAGTCTTTATCTACCTATGTTTCTATTTTTCAAACCAGAGATAAAGAAAACAACAATAAAAAGAAAAAGATTATATGGTGGTGAACTTTTTCAGAGACCGGAACTGCAGAATATGTTGCGTGGAAATCTGTTTCTGGTGACATAGGAAATAAGCTGAGAAGTACTTAAAAGCGTTAACAGGGATGAGACCCTGTCTTTATAGCTGGATAGGATCAGGCTCCTTTTTGGGCTCACTCAGTATGTGCTGTAAGTATTCAATGCCAATATTCAAGACACAATCCTGTAATGTCATTACAAGGTCCCATCACAGTCACTTGCACATTTCCTTTGGCACAGCAGATTTTTTTTTGATGGGGGACAGGGTCAACAGTCAAGAAATCCCTGCCCTCTAATAAGACAGCAGGAGAAGAAAAACACTTGCTAAGCACTTCAGCTGTTCTCAGATTCATAAAAAACATCATGTTGTGGAGATGATAATGTTTCTTTTTCCTGTTGGTCAGCTGCTGGGAAACCTTTGGGAATTTACTGGGTAAAAGCTCCAAAAACTCTGAGGCACTTCTTTCACTCACCTTGGTAAAGTAGCTATGTCAGAACTTCTGGTGCCATATACACCATCACAGGCAACATTTCCCATTATTCTGGAGGGTGGGTCAGGAGCAGCTGTCCTCTCCCCGACATTAAAAATAAGAACAATGAGGAAGCTCTTCAGATCTTCGGAATGTTGACGGTAATCACAAAAAGCATGATGACGTAGACAGTGGCAAGACACTGATGCCCCCAAGTAAGGGAAGAAATTTGGGACCAGAGGACACAAGGCATCTGAATTACTCACTTTGGAAGTTTGGTTTGGATTTGTGCTCACGCACAAACCAGCAGCCCCTGGGAATCAAAACAGCACACTTCAGTTTGTGCATTATGGCAACAAAATCTCCCAGTTCTGCTCTTTCTCTAGTTTTGCACCTTTCACACTGCAGGAGAGTCTTTTTATCAATCTTAGTCTGTATCCCAACCTTCTTGCGTAAAGGTTAAAAAGAATGTATTGATTATACTGTGAAGTGTGCCAATGACATTTCTAAGGTTGTGTCGTACAAATCTATAGATAGCTAGGGAGTGTTCATGCTTGATCAAGTTCTTGTTATTACTGGGAGAAGCTCAAACCTTAACAGATGAAAGATGTTTTTCAAATTACCTAGCTCTGTAAAATATTTTTCCTGATTCACAGCATTTTAACTTCCCCTTGCTCTTAATGTACAACAAATCAGAAGAGTCTACAGAAAGGAACTGTGATGAAATCCTGGTTATGGGTTATCTGTCACGAGATTCAAAGTAGTCAGTATTTCACTTCAGGTTCTTGATATAAACAAGGAATATAAATCTTCGTTTCTAAGCAAGCATTGATCAAGGTAGTGGTGTCAGATCTGCTCCCAGGGCCTTTTCTCCCTGTTTTGCAGCAGTCACATCACCCCTGAAGCTATTCTCCTCTCTGCTTCTGCAATGGACAAGGAATTCTGGAGGTCAGCACCCTACTTGACATGGTGCTGGATTCCCCAGCTAACTCCTGACACCATGTCACAGAGTGAGCTGCTCTCCAAAGCCAGTATCAGAGGTGCAGCTGCTGCAGGGTGCAGCTCTACCGCACTTTGGGTCTTGTCAGGACAGGCAGAGGCAAGGACGAGGGAGAGGTCTTTTGTATGGTTTCCAAGGAGGTTTATTCAAAAGGAAGGTCCAGGGACGAAAGACACAGAAACTGGGAGAGCAGGGACTTTTATACAGCGGAGGTCCAAGGAGAGATGGGGGAAGACTGAGGAAGAGCACAGGACAAGGTTCACAATCCATAAACCTATGAGGAGACACAGGGGGAGGGAACAATTTAAGCAAACCAATGGGGCCTCGAGGATTAGGGGTTTCCAGGGCAGAGGGGCTGGGATAAGGTGGGGTTGACAGATTGGTGGGAGGAGGAACAGGGAATACTGCGGAACAAGGGGCAGGTTTGCAACAAGATGGACTGCTGAATGGGAGGATACATCTTGGGACAAAACAACAATACAGGGGAGAAATGGAACAAATTATTAAGAACAGAAACACACTGCAACACCTACTACTGTCTTACTGAGCATTAGTAGGTCCAGGAAAAGTAGCACTGGTGAAGATTGGCTTCTCATGGATTTGCATGCTATGGTCAGATCTTCCAGTGCCTCTCTGTGGAGCAGCTGTGACTGATGCTCTCCATGCCACTGAGGCATCACAGCGCTTCTCCTCCCAGGCAAGATCTCTCATTTGACAAGGATTTCACTGCATCTGAAATTTTTCCCTCAGGTTGACATAAGGAGGCCTCCATTCTCCCAGCAGTCTATTTTTGTGAACTTTTTAGGAATCTTATGAGTATTAAAACTGCCAGACAGCTGAAAATCTTCTATAAAGCTTGTCTGGCCAGATAGATACATGTACAGAGACTGGCAGACACAAACACTTAAGACTGGTTCTGTAGAAAGACAAGTTACAGAGATTTAGACTTTTAGCACATTTGTGACAGTATTCCTCAGTAGGTATGCAGGCTTTAGTCACAGGAGCTCAGAAAATTTCATTAGCCCTATCCACCCTGGAACAGCTCTGTTCCACACGTTTTCTGTTGCTGTTACAAGTCATTCTGAAGCCTACTGACAAAAGGAGAGAAAACATGCAATAACCCTTCAAGGGAATAAACAAATCAACCTCCGAGTCTCAAATGAGTGCTGAGACACAGGTCTCAGGGCTGACACTTGACACTTGAGCTCCAGACTTTAAAGTCTGCTTTGCCTGTGTGTCAGCCGTGGTTGTGAATACCGAGAGGCTGAATGGCTTTCTTGCCGTCAGGAGTTGCGTACAAGAGCGGTTCAGTTCATGAGTCACTGGCTAAGCAGATGTCAGAATGCATGATATCTAAAGTTGATTTCTGATGGAAATGTCAAAGGAGGTGTCTCTAATGCTGAAGCCACTTCTCAGTGATGGCTTGCTACTGGTTCATAACTACTTTCTGCTCTGCTTCCATCTACCATGAAAGTTGCCGTGCTGCTACCTTGCATCTGCACTCAGACAGAACTAGACTAGATCCTGTTAAATGAACTGTATAAGCCAGTCACCTAGCCAAAACTGATGGCACACTTAGTGTACTGAAATGATCCATATTACTATTCCTTCTTCACGGGCTAAATATAAAAGTGTGGAAATACAGAGTATACTTTACACATAGGAAGGAGAACTCATGCCTTGTGATTTTTTTCCTAGCAGTGATTCTCTAAAAAAATAATGAAGCTACAGACATAAATTTGGCCTTATTCCTGCAACCCCGTCTCAGAATATGATGTCATAGAGTCAAGTTCACTAAGAGCCTGCTATGTGTGAGGTGTACAACAAGCTTTGATCTTGAAGATGTCTGTAAGATTTGCATAGTGTTTTTTCTTCCCATCTATTTAGAGGTGCATTCAATTTTCTGATCTTTTGTTCTCCATTTTTTTCTGTTAAATAACTAAGTACAACCTATAAAATATTTCAACCAGTTCAAGTAATAATAACAATTAATAATAATAATTATTACAGTAATAATGCTGTGGTTTGATTTCATACCTTTAATTTGGAGATCTTGAAACACTTCTTACAAAAATATTGTTATTACCTTCTCTTTATACATTTGGAGACCAAAACATAGACTATTAAAGTAACTTTTTCAAAGTCTGCAGAGGTAAGAATGGAACTAAATTTTCTTCCATCCTCATTCCACCCCCCATCCTAATTCCATAAAATATTGGCAAGTTATACAACAAACCATACATAGATCACATGTTCAAATATAAAAGGCAGAAGGAAACAAGCTGCAAGAATTGAGAAATGCTTCTCAGTAAATTATGTGTCAAATGCTAGGTTCTGTGTCAGCTCTACTAGATTATTTTCCCTGCTGTCCACAGAAATTTCCGTAGCCTAAGATCTTTTGCATTTCACCATATTCCAATTCCTTTTAAAAAATTCACATATTTTTATCTGTTCTATCTGGAATTTAATACTGTGGAGTTTTTCCTCTGTCTGAAATTATCAGTTCATCACCTCTCAAAACAGTCACACTTGTAGTATAGTTATCATTTCATCTTGCAGAATGTGCAAAATACAGACTGTGCATAAGTGGTAGGTCCCTCATCCACTTATTCCCTACGGTCTAGAATTTTTATTTTTTTTTTAAATTGTTTCAGATTTTTATTCAAATAAGTTTATGCATTTACCAGTATTTTTCCAAGCTTCATGACTCTCCCACAGAGACTAAACTTCATACAGTTGATGTTCTTAGAGCTGTGTCCTTTCATCTTTCTAGAACAAAGCCATTTTGAAAATCTCTCAGGCTTTTTGTAGCTTTTGGTAATAAATCCAGGGGGAATTTTTTTTTTTTTCTTCCCAGAAGCTCTCAGAGGGGTTTCAACTTGTATGAGGGTCTCACATGCATTGAACAAACTGTCCCTCCCCTCTCAATTAGGGCTCACTTTACTGAGGCTCAGGCAACATCTTTAGCTTGTTTTAGGGGAATTCTTAGTTCTGTACTATGCAGGGCAGATGCTCAGAGTTCAGTTCATGTGCTCACCAGGCGTTGCTTCAGGATAAGAACTTCTACACTAGGTCTCCTGGAGCTGTTAATTAGACAAACATTTTATTGCTCGTCTTCTTGAGAGGTAGCTGCATATTGAGGGATCAAGGTGGCCCACTGCTGGAGGAACAGAGGCTGTCTTGTGATATTTAAAGTCCCCTGAAATGCTTTGGGCTAGATAGATCCCTTGTTGCCTTTCTGCCCCCACTGGTTTAGGGTCCTTTAACCCAAGCTTGTATAGGTAACAACACCAGGAAACTGAGGCTGCTTTGCCTTTTTTACATCCTCTGCTAGAACATACAGGCATTTGCATCCCTAGTAGGTATCTACATCTGGCTTAAATGAACAAGGGTATGTATTTGTGAGGTACACACACAAGTATGTAGTGAGATCATGAAGCAAATAGCATTACAAGTATGACTCTCAATATTCATGTCACACAGTGGTGTAACCAGCACTCCTGTTCCTGATGAACTTCACCAATATAGCTATAGGTCCTTTTTATTTTTCTACAAAATGGACTTACAGAAAGACTCAAAATATGCAAAGTCTGTATTCTAACATGTACACAGAGTTCAGGTCTGCATTTCAGTTGCATGAGCTGTTCGTGGTCTTATGTGCTGAGTTGTTAATTTAAGTGCTTACTTTGAACCCATTAGTTTTCTTTTAACCTTGATTTATTTATGACTAGCTTAGGGTTCAATACCATGCAGCACTTAGTGTGTTAAAGACTGAGTTTAGTGTAGGTATATCACTATGGCCCTAAAATGGCTGGATCCCTCAAGAGAATGTCATTGGCAATATTAAGATTTTGCTTCATGCAAGAAATAATTGAACTTGACCAAGTCCACTGGGGAGTTTGAGTTTGAAGGGACCTTTATAGGTTATCTAATCCAATCTCCTACAAGAAGGAGGGACATATTCATCTAGGTCAGATTTCTCAGAGCCCTGTCAACCTGACCTTCAGTATTTCTGGGAATGGGGTATCCATCTTCTTTCTGGGCATCCTGCTCCAATGTCTCACCACTGAGTAAAAACTTTCTTCCTCGTATCTAATCTAAATCAACATCCTTTCAGTTTAAAGACATTACCACTTGTCCTATCACAACAGGCTCTGATAAAAAGTTTGTCCCCATCTTTCTTATAAGCCACCTTTAAGTACTTAATGGATGCAATATTGTTCTCCTGGAGGCTTCCCTTCTACAGGCTGAAGAGAATCCCAACCCCCTCAGCCTTTCCCCACAGGAAATGCCTTCTATCCCCTCCCTTATCACTTTTGTGCCCCTCCTCTGGACTCACTCCAATAGGCCAAGCTTAATTAAGAGCAAATAAGGTCTGTCTGCTTCCAAAATTTATGCATATGTTTAATAGTGCTTATATAAACTTTTAAGCTCTTGGTAACTTACATGCTTTTAGAATACAACCAGGTTATGTGGCTTCTAAACCAAAACTGATTTTTATCTAAAACTATATGTCACGATAATAGAGACCTTTTTGAGAGAGTCTAATTTCAGAAAATTTCCTCCCCATCAAAGGAATGAGTGATTTGAGTAGGCATATGAATTCTATATATTTATCCAGATAAAACTAAACATCTTGATATCTTCAGGACAGCAGACGATTTGGAGGAAAATATGAGATTTAAATGAGCATGAAAAGGATGAAAGAGCGTGACTTTCTTTACACAAGCGTGTGAGTAATGTTTTAATCAGGGAAACTTTTTTTGAATAAGACCAAGTATTTAGTGTTGCTATTTATACCATTTGAAGTTTAGCCAGCAAGGCACAGAGGAAGGAGAACCACGATTCCCTAAAAGTCTCTTTCTTTTGCCCATCCCACCAAGTCCTAATCAATGTCACAGATTCAGTACCAGAAAATAAATAAGCTCCCAAAAAGAACACTGTAATTTTCCCAGAGGACTAAGGAAGGGGAAAGATTGCTGTGACTATATGGCACTGATTATTGGGAGATCCCTCTGATACAGCTGCAATTTGGTCTTCATACATGATTAGGGGAAAAAAAAAAGCTGAGTCAGATAATTATTCTCCTAAAATGTTAAGCATACAAAACCCCAGATCAGAAAATAATATGATGGGCTGGAGCATTTTTTTACAGTGCAATGTATCTGACACACATCTAGGCCACTAATTAGAGACAGACTCTTCCTATTGCAGTTGATTATAGGGTCTGAACATTAATATACTTTTGGAGTCGGAGGTGGAAAAGATCTCGTGAATTGCCAGCTTCTTGCCAATGCAGGGTGCTTCTGAGCTAAAGGATGTAACTGATAATGGATAACCTTTTCTGGGTTCTATTCTTATTTGCCAAATTACAGACAAGGAATAGGAAATAAGACTTGAGATGACATTTGAGCCATGAGTCTTAAAAAAAAAAAAAAAAAAAAGATTATTAAAGACAACAACTGTGTCGTGTGGGAAAGGTCATGATTTAATTGCAAGATTGTGAAATCAGGATGCTAAGCACTGGGATAACAAGTTCGAGAGACACATTCAGTTAAATGGCTCAATAGAATAGAGGACATTATTTTTCATTTTCTGTGTAAAATAACCTTTCAAAACTCTTGATGAAAAAAAAAACCCAAACCTGATTTACCTGAGTAAATCTGATTTTTTTAAGTGATAAATTGCATCTATAAGACTCTTCAGAAAAAGATTCCTCTTATTTAAATTAACTCTTACAATTCAAAGCCTTCAAAATCTGATCCTGAAATAGTTGCCTTATCTTGATTTTATCAGAATCAATTGCATAAAGAGAGACCAGTGAAACCCAAGTAATTTTAGCAATAGTAGCTGAAGTGAAATAACTGATTAGCATGTAGAGGGCCATTGTCAACAAACATGCTATTATTCAAAAAGACAATACTATACCTGTAATTATGAAAGAATACTATATTCTGAAGAAAAAAATACTTACCGTACTTCAATATGAAGATAAAGGAAAAGTTCTCAAGATACTCTTTGCATTTAGGTAGCTTAAAAATGAAAATGTAAATTCAAACTTGTAGAAGCTGGACTGGCACGATATGGGACTGAGCTCCTCAATTTGTCCAAAGTACATGTATCTTGAAGGCAGTGCAATTTTCCATAAGCTATCTTGTCAACATGTCTCAATCCTGACCTGCTTATGGCACCTCCAGAGAGGAGCACACTATTCAGCCCCCATGTTCATTCAGTCCTTGGCTGAGCTTGCCAGTTAGTGTCCCTGAAGAGGGAAGGGCAGCTTTTTGGTGTGGACACCAAGTGTTGGACCACTAAGTCATGCCTCAGAGTTGTTTGCATTAACCAGCCTTCCTCTCAGTTTCCTACCGTGATGTCTGACATCAGTTTTGTCTCTTTACCTACGATGACGATATGAAATAGCTGAGCTCTCTCACATTCTAACTTGTGAAAACTGTTGGCAAGTGTTGATGTATGTTTTCTTAATTATGACTGCCATACACCTCCAATTAGTCATTACATAATACAATCTGTTCTGTATTTGATTTGGACTAACAGATTCTACTATTGTGGACACATATACGCACCTAGAAAGATGGATAGGCCCAGTGCCATGGAGGTGATAGACTGCACGATCCAACAGCAATCCCTGTGTCATTCAGTCTCCTGTTGAGTGTGAATTTAAATCATTTAAATCCTGAATATTTCTGTCCTTTGAATATTATAAAATTCAAATCCTTTAAGAATTTTCCTTTAGAAAAAAATATGAATAAAAAACAAATTATAGGATTAATAAACCAATTGTTCACTTGCTTTTAAAAATCCATCATGAATTTTCTAAATCTCAAACTGTTTAGTTAGGTTTTAGTTTTCACACTTGATGTGCTTGATCTTAAATCGTTCAGTAATAAAATAGAAAAATTACAAATCAGCCTGGTTAAATTAGAATATTCATAAAGTGAGGTGCCGTAAGAGAGTCATTTACTATCTTAGAAAGTTCACTTATGCAGTTCAAACAGATGAAAAATACTCCTTAATAAAATATAGCGTATATATCAGGATCAGCACCAAGCCTTTTCTACATCCAAGGGATTTTATGCATCTCTGGGTATTGAGAACAAGCCTCTACTAACGTCAAATTCCATGAAAGTCTTTTAAACTTCTGGACATGATGACTGAGGGAGTAGCTGTTCCTGGTCCAGTCCAAGCCAGAAGAGAGGCTGAGCAGGCGAGCTATCTGCAATCCTAAAATTAGAGTGAAGCATGCCACCATCTGTCATTTCCACCTTACCTTATGGATGTTAGGATGATTGACTCTTAGAAAGTAAGTACTGGTCCTGAGTGGGACTATATATAGGAATATTTTAGATATTTATGCATTTAAAAATTGTTGCTTTTAAAATTAAACCTTTTGGTTTTCCAGATTCACTTTTGCATGGCTAGATGGAGGACAGACTACAAAATAATATCAGAAAACATCAGGAAACGGATGGAAGAAATTGTTGGAAAGCTCAGAGGTTCAGAAGATCCATTACACCTGTTTGATGAGGAAGCTGTGCCTCTAGGGCTTGTTCACATCCTTTCTGTGAAAGGCCTTTCACAAGAGTAACCATGTGGAGGATTTTGCACATCTCTGGTCATTTTATAAAACCTTTATTTGGAAGGCAAGAGAGAAATAGTCTTTGGTGCTCTTTGGCTTTTCATTTTTTTGACAATTGCACTGATGTTATATCTTTTTGAAGTATAAAATATACGTAGGAAAAATTTAATTTTTGAAACCATGGAACGAGCTCAAATAGGTCAAATTAATAGAGAATTCTTAAGCCAAAGGACATCACAATTCTGTTCAATCTTCATCATTTTCCAAGTGTCCATACACACCAGACTCACCAGACTCTCCTTTATTAGAAGACCACCATCTGGAAACAATATGCTGCAGGACTATAACAGCAGACTTAATTTATCTTCCAGAAACTTTGCTGCAAACAATAGCACAAAAAACTGGTGGAACACAGACTGTCCATAGTAGGTGAAAGTGAATATAGAGACCCTTTTTTCCTTTCCTGTTCCCTCTAATGTTCAGAATTTAGCTGAAATATAAGATTCATCGACAGTGGAGTCAGGAGGAGGGCAACTTCTGCATCAAAATAACTTGAACTATGTTTTTAAGTGTTCGCACTACAAAAGTTCAAGCTTCTAGTTATAGGCAAGACAAATCTTGAAGGTCTTGAATAGCTAAACTGAAAGTTACTTTTGAGTTCAAACTGTTCATAAATCAGCCCCCTTTTTCTCAGCTCTTTTTCCAATGCATTATGGGTTGGAAAAACAACCATCTACATCAGTATACTGCAGATTTTGTGAGCAGATATTTTTCAAGTCAGATCTCACCTGTTTCTTCAGACCACTCTGTACCCCAATCACCGAACTTAGAGTATAAGAACAGTGTAGTTTCATGAAAGAATGCTTATCATGGTTTTATAGGTTCCCATTTTGGATACCTTGGCAGCTTATTTAATATTCAGTTTGTCTAAGTTTCTGCTTTCATTTCAGCTTTCCCATTTTTAAAAGGCTGTTTAAAAAATGAAAGCACTGGAAACAACTTTTCATCATTTTTAATAATTTCTTCATCCTGATATCAGACAGTCCCTCCCTTTCTAAAACACCCCATTCCCATCCTATCTACAAATGTGCATCTAATTTTCATTCTTCAAATTTAGTTTTAATATGTCATACACTTTGGGAGTCCTAAAGGACTGCTTTTGAGAAAGTTTTTTTTTTCTAGTGTTCCATTAGAAGAGGTAAGAACCAATGAGTATGCACATTGAGGTTATTTAATCACTGACCCTCTAAGGTGTAGCAAGGAGCTTGAAGCTGGTGCTTACTGAAGATAGTGTTATCTTTTGGGCTATGGTTTTGTATTTGGAATTTAAAGAAGACCTCATAAACAGATAACTAAAAGAGAGGACAAATTTGTATCAGAATGGTCCAGATCAGCATTACATGAATCCAAATCTTAGTCTGTTTGCAACTGGATAAAGGCCAGAGCATTATATGGAATGAGGCATCACACTTTTTCTATGTCAGGAATATATTTTTACAATTATCGTTTCCATTGTCTAAGAGTACACCGTTCAGGTCATTAGCATGTTTCCAGAAAGGGAGTGCTATTATTTCTGAAAAGATATGTCTAATATTTTTATTGCATATCAGTCCACATATTGCTGAATAGTATATACATGAAACTGCAATGGAAAAAGAGAATATCTCGCTCTTACTGTCTCTGCCTCACATACACACACAGACACGCTCATGCATACAGACACACACAAAAGGAAGACTTTGGCCTCCAGCTTCTCAAATTATTCAACTTTTTTTAGCAGAAATGCCAATAAGCTGAAAAACCCTGTAGCCACAAAAGGATGCTATAGCAGGAAAAGGGAGAGGTGAAAAAAGGAGTATCTGCACTGTGACACCATACCTGGGAACTCTAGGGTGCAAAATACAGTCTCACACTGTGAAAAGCAGATCATCAAAGCAGATTCACTAAATCACCTTCCACTAGTAAGGACACAGACCAGGCACCCTCACCCCATAGCAGCCAATAAGCTCCTACCTATTTGTAATGCTGCAAACACAGTTAGCAACATATTTGTTAGCAGGTGTCACTGTGATGAGAAGAGCAGACGGCAGTCAGCCTGTAATTATTGTGTGAACCCAATAGGCGTTACACACTTCATTTTGGAACACATCACAGAATTCTTTAATAGCTGGCCTGATTATTAGGATCTTAAGTTAATTTGTGCAGAATGTTATAAAAGTTAAGCAAGAAGATATTAACATTATACAAATGAGCATGGTTCTGCCTGTTAGCTTGAACATACGGCAAGAAACAGAATGACACTATCCAACACTGCAAATTTACATTTAACAAAATCGCTAAGTAACAATTTTACAGTCATCTTAATTTGCATCACTAAAACCTGGCAGCATTTCACCCAAAATGCATTAGCAGGAACTATTTATAAGATCAGTATCAAGGTTTTCATATAAAGCCAGTGAATTAATATGATTGTTAGAACAGTGCTTACATGGTGATGCCTAACTTCCCTAGAAAAGTACAGTTAAGGATCACCATTACCGCTCCATGAACACTTCTTAAAGCAATTCATAGCAAAATGACTATGAAAAGGTAAATTCTGGTAGAAAGTGACAAAATAGAATCCAGCTTCTGAGGGCAATCAAATATCATCATATTGTTTACTGTCTAGGGTGTAAGCATAAGCACTTCACAGTGGGGATGTTTTTAATCTATATTTGCCCAACATGGTGCAGAGAAGCCACAACTTACATTGATCCTGTCATTGTGTTTGTGCAGCAGGTGCAAACTGATAGGGGCAGGGTCCTGATTCCTATTTCTCTCTCCATGTCTCAGGAATCAACCTCCCCTCTAGATCAGGTGCTGCTTTTCTCCCCAGTGCAATGGGAGAAGAAGCAAAGAGATGTTGCAGACCTAGGTCTGAGCATGGAGCCAGACCATAGCTGGAGGGGATGCACCAAAACATGGAGACAAGAAACCTTTCCAGATCCTACAGTTTAAGAAATATATTAGTATCAATAATTGATTTAATTATAGAAATTTAGTTATCTTTGCTTTCCTTTGAAAGAGTGATATATTCCTATAAGGCCAAAATTTCCTCTCAGATCTGCTCTATAGATTTTAATTACATTAATCTACTATACTGACATACGTGTTTTCCTTTATACCAGTTGGCAATCTGTATACCTAAGAACATTGAAGCAAACTGCTATCACGTGGGTTTAAAGAGAATTTTGCCGTCAGATTAAATAAAAAAACCAAAAACCCCATGACAAAAAAGGCTGAGTTTCTGACAGAGTACACCACTTGTATGCTGCTTTATATAATATGAATAATTTATATTGCTAAAAGTGCTTCCCCTGAAATATGGGTAGAAGCGGGTAATTGCCCATGGATAATACTTTATATATTTTGTAGGAGGAACATATCTCAGCCCAAGAAAATACACTGGCACTGGGGCACAACTTTCAGATATGAATGACTCAATGAATCATGAATGACTATGATTTTCTTGGGACCTAATGGTTTAACACACACTTAAATACATAACAAATGCATGAAAAAGCCTAAACAATCTAAATTGTGTAGCACAGAGTGGACTGTGAACTCTTCTGTGTACTTCGGCTGCTTGGGGTTTAAACAATAAATGACTATATAGGTATGGGGGCAGCTTTTATCTGGCTGATGGTGGCATCCATCTCCACTAGAAGTTTATAAATCTTTCTGAAATCTTCCTCTATTGCTCTGTCTTAATAGTGACATGCAGTGGCTGCAAGGTGCAACAGAGGTTTAAGAGAACAGTAGTGCACAAATAAGAACATTTAACATGTGACAACATATCAAATTGCTATACCACACAGCAAGTTTCCATAGACATTGTTTCTACTGGTGTTTAAACAGCTTTGCTGCTCATTCACACCTCCATGCAATTGCACTCAGAGAGTACTTTAATAAAAAACACATCGTAACTCTGAGGCTTTTACGGACTATGCCATAGAATTGCCTGTGTTCCAGGATCTGGTCCAGCACAGGACAGCGCCAGAGAGAAAGCAGCAGGTAAGGAATGTTCCAGGAAATATCTAATGGTTTTGTATGCTGAATATTAGCCTTTGAATCAGGTGATCACTTTGCAGTTGTGCAGGGAATAAAGTTAGCCTGCTTCTCCTTTGTGCCCCTCTCATCAATTGCTCCCCTTCCACAGTGACTCCATTCATGCCTGCTGCTCTTGCTGGAGTTGCCATCTCCTGGCCTCTGCTTTTTTTGACACACTCATCTTGGTAAACTGGGTAGAATTTCATTTTGCAGAAGCTCTGAATCTCCTTTGGATTGGTGGTTTAGGCTAACAAACCTAACAGTGTCTGAAAATTAAATTGGTTGTGCTGGGACTAACCCCTTTAAAATAAGGAATGCATAAGGCAAGCCTGTTTTCTTTGTCTGCTTTAAGTACCAAAATCTGTCTAAAATGTGGAGCTTGATCAATCTCTACTCTTCCTTTTCCTGTCCCAGCAGATATTATTTCTGTCTAGTTAATGGTACTTCATGTTGACTCCCCTAATGCTGGGCATACAAACATCTGATTTTCCTCTGGACACATGTTCCTTCCAACATAAAATGATATTTAGATATAATTCTAAAACTTCATGTCTATCTGCAGCAAGATAAGGCAGGATATGAGCTGAAAATAAAGTAACTATTAAAAGCTTGAGGAAAATAGGTGTTAATGAGTTGATTATAGTCCTAAGGAATGTGGAGTAGCAAAAAAGTCTTAATTAGGTGCATGCAGTCCAGCTACGTCCATCTTCCGGCAACAAGAGAGAGAAAAAACAGAATATACAAAGCTATCTTTAGGAATCATTGTCAGTTTTACTGAGATTAGAAGTGTATTATCTGATAGTCATATCTGCATGCACAGTCACACTATGGAACACAGTTAAGGTGCTCTGTCTTGTTTCATTTCTTAATTTTTTGGCACCATTTTTAAATGCAAATATAATTTTGACATTCCTGTGGCTATAACAAAAATGTACTTTTTACTTTCCTGAACCTTTTATTTCTTCTGTGTATCTCCAGATTTAATTTTTCAGGTTAAATTGGGAAAAGGTTTGTTTTGTTTCTGTGAAGAAAATATATATTCCAGGAGCAGAACTGTCTTGGTTGATACGTTATGCATCCATCAGCTGGGTTACATGGACTATGAGTCAGGGTATAATTCTGCCCTGTGTCAGCGTTTTCCTTCCCAAGTGCTTGAGACTGTGCATTGCAGAAACATGCTTCTGGGGAGAATACTTCAGAAAATTCTGCTAACTCCTTGGTTCCTTCCATCACCACTATGTCATATTAGGAGGCACAAAGTGACATCTTGATATATTGCTTATAGCCTCATATAAGGTAAAGTCTTATTAGAAAGTAATAAAAGTGACCTCCTGCTTTTTTGTCCATAATCTTGTATTACGTTAAGATGGAAAATCAGAACTGGTTATGTTTGCCATTATTTTGTTGTATTTAAAATAATACTGTGCAACACCAAGGTTGGAGTTTGAAAAATGCTAAGAAATAACACTGTCTGGAGCAATGTATAAAATATTGATGAAAATAGAAATGACAAACATACTTCCCCATGGTTCGTTTTGGGTGTGTCTGATGAAGAAAGCAAATAAACTCTCTGCTTTCCTTTACAGTGTTTTTCAGCTTAAGTAGGCACAATGCTCAAAACATTGTAGTCTTAAAAAAAAAAGAAAAAAAAGGTCGGGAAACATTATAAAAATCAGTTTAGTTTGGAGTGAAATGTGGCATGCAAGTTATTGTGCTCATGACCTGCATAACACCACTGAGAGTAAAGGTATTATGTTAATAAGTGATAAAAACCCTGTGCCACCTTAAACGAGCTTTCTCTGCTACAGAAAACAAGTCATATCTTTGAAGGAAGGGCTAGGTCTGGAAACTCATCAGGAAATGTGACTTAAAGTGAAACGTAAATGAAATGTTTTTTACCTACTTAACTTCAGAAATGTCTATTATTATATCTATACAGGCCAAAAAAATATATATTTAATTTAATGCAATTAAAGTTTAGCTTGTCCTATGTTAGGGATGTTACTCTAGGGGGAACAAAACTGGTAGCGATAGTGAAATTACAAAAGTTGTTTTATGTCACATTAGTTAACATATGCAAGCTTATTTAACATGTGGACCACAAATAAGTGTAATTATATTAAAACAAGGATCTGTAGCTCAGAAGCAATAAAAATAGACTAGGTTGTATTATTAATTCTTGTGTTAAGGGTTTTGAGCCATGTTGATTGGCCTGAATTTTTTGATTTTGTTATGGTACAAAGGGATTGTTTGAAGTAATTTGTCCCCGAGAGAGGCTCACAATCCCAAGCGGGTTTCAATTCAGCAAAGCAAATCTAATTTTGTTTGCTTTATGCAAACCAGAAGGGGCTGTGGTTCATTCTGTTTTCACTGGAGGGGAAAGGCGCACTAATGGGACCTGCTGAAATGCATGCATTGCAAACATCATACCCCTGCATATATTAAATTTAGCTATGTGATGCACTGTGTTCATCATCTCATTGTGTACACAGATATGCTTTAGAACAAAGCCTTTAATAGTACAGGAACCTTACTACATTATGCCAACACACTATTGTATTTATATTTAATGCTACGACTGGAATTTCTTTCCTTGGATAAAGTGTATTGATATGTCGTCTTTTTTTCCCTCCTGTTACTTGTTATAGTAGACAGTATACCGAGGACATTACATGCTTGAGCTTCAAGCCATCTGAAGATTAATTATATGGAGGTCTCATAATGGTTTTTAATTTTCCCTTTTTTACAGCCCAGAGTTAAATAGGAGACATGTTCAGGATCTGATTGCCAAAAGAGCAATAATCCCCAATCCATCAGATCGAGGCTGGAAGATAAATGATGGGGAATAGCACCTGCAAGACAGGTAATGCTCCAGACAATAACCACTGCTTTGACAGATTGCTACCCTCTCCGCAGAGTGGCTCCTTTTTAGGCTTTCCAAATGCGGTATTTATATTGTGTAAAGAGTGCACCAGAACTGAATAAATGCTGGGTACAGAAGAAAATCCATTTCTCTAAGAGCCAAGGAAAATGTTGCCATTTATTTCACTGGGAGTCAAAGTGGGCCACTAAAAAAATTTTTGATGGCAAAGTTGAAGGATGGATAAACTTATTTGCATATAAGTCACATTATTTATTTATTGGATTTTCATAATAGTGCTATGGTTCACGTGGTGTTGCTCAATTTTTTCCAGGGTGCTTCTGTTTTGAAAACAATTTCAATATTGCATAGAGACAGACACATCTCAAAACCCTTCAATTTGTCATTAGACATTTGGCTGCTTGCCTATTTTGCTGATAATATTGCAAAACTACATTAATTTATTGAATGATTTTTGTGAATCAGTTCACACAGAATTCAGAATGACACTTGTCATGCATCAGATGATTAACTATTAAAAGCATAGGTTTACTTGTTATGCTTATTGTGTGGTACAGTTCAAAGTTTGCTTAAGTGTGCAATTTAAATTCAAAGATAGGTCAGGAATAATGATTCTTTCCCTTTTAAAGTTGCTTAACAAAACACTCGGGAATATTCTTCCCAGTTGTGTTCTGTGTGGCCACTTACCATTTTCTACAGCTACTTTTCCTCCTTAATTATTTGTAAGATTTGGAAATCAAAAAATTTTCAGTACACTAACACAAATATCTCTGTCTCAATCCCCAGAACCCTGGGCACAGGCAGGGTTGATGGGTCTTCCTGGGCAGAAGGACTCCTCATAAACAAGTCCAGCTACAGAGCATGGGATCAGAACCTTCCTCTGTGCCACTTACACAATTCAAAGGGTGTGACTGCACTCCTGATAGAGAGAAAATGCATGCCAATATTTCCTAACCTAGTAAAGCCACTCAGAGGTAATGCAGACAGGTAAGATTTTGTTTGTGTGTTATCGCAGAAGGGATATTTGAAAATAAATATGTTCTCCATCACTGTTCCTGCACATTCCTTAACACCTAGGTTAACACACACAAAAGTTTGATGCATCCTTTTCTGCTGGATTTAGGCAAAAATTGAGATGTCGAGGTAGAATCAGGTTCTAGACAAACAATACTATAATGGGAGAGGTCTCTCTCTCAAAATGGCTATTGCTTGATTAACCAAGTAAATGTTCAAACTAAACAGAAACTTCTCAGAATGTAAGAAAATAGAACTTTAAAAGGACAAATAGCTGAGAGGGGGTTTTAGAAGGTAAATCCTTTTGAAACTGGAGGGAAGACTGTGTTGGGCCCTGCTCTTATGATAACAGAGAGGGCCTGGGCCAAGACATTTCCATGGTGTAAAGCAAGACAGGGAATCTGAGTAGCATAAATCGGTACCTGCAGGTCAATATTGCTCTTCAGAGCTTCACACTTCGACAGAATGACTTTGAAACTATTTCTATTTACTCCAGATGAGGATCTGGCCTGCAAAAAGAATAAGTACAGTTTAAATGGTTTTAAAAAAAAGTGCTCTGATCAAAGTACTTTTATTGGCTGAAGTTATTGAGCAAATATTATCTAAAATAGAGCTTAGAATAAGAAATGAATGTTTGTCATAAGAGCTTAAATTGAGATAATTTTACAGAAGGGGACTGGGGAAATGTTGAAGTTACCATCAATTGCAGTCATAAAGTATTTTCATTGCTAAATATGATTTATTACTTGCTTTTATTTTTTATCATTTCTCATTTATATTGGACTAACCACTTTACAAAAATTAATAAAATAGTGCATACTTTTAGAACCTTAAAGGCTAACTGAGATGAACATAAAGAGAAATGAAGGGAAGGGATGCAATGTCACTTCAATAATGCAATACATATAGCAAGAGGCAATCCTTGCTCCAAGGGGTCTTCTGTATGAATAGACGAGGCAGATAAAAGAGCTAACATTAATTCCTCCGTTTATGGAGGGAGAACTGAGGCACTGAAAAATCGAGAAACTTACCCAAATTGACAAAGAAAGTCTGTCTGAGTAGACACTGAATCCATTTTCTTCATGCTCTACTTCAATACCTTTCCCACCCCAAAGGCTGATGTAAATTAAAATAACATAAACTTTATACACTCTGAACTATTCATCAAGATCATGTGGGGCTGAACCTATTTCAGCTTATTCTTAGCTGAGGGTCTGGTAGAGTAAGATGCTCTATTAATCCCTGGAGTGAACTGATCTAGACTATAACAAATGTTAGAGTCCAATTCTGCAAATGATAACGTAGTCTAAGATATCTAGACAGCCTTGTTGATACTTGATCTATGAACAGGCTTACAATTAAGGACTTATGTATGTTTTATTTATTAGCCATGAGTTGTTAAGAAATTATGATCTATTACCCGCACAGGTCACAAACAAAATTCAGTCATATCTATAAAAATGTATTTCTATCTTTTAGAGGTGCTTGAAATACAGAATGAGTAAAAGCTAAATTTCATAGGTTTCTTATTTATGTAAAAGGAGTTCAAAGGAAGGTTTTATTTGCATAAACTAGTAAGATGTTCATCTAGAGGACTTCAGGAGCCTTAATTAACTTAAGGAATGGCTCAAAATAATTAGAAGAAAAAAATTATTTTATTTTCAGTATATTTTTTCTTACATTGTGAATAGAAATAAGTTGGAAAGGTATTGTAAGACAAAAAAAAAGGGTTCGAACTTGATCTACATCAGATAAAAGGACTTCTGTATTCTGGGTACATCTCAGGATTAATGTTTTCCAATATTAATCTTTTAATATCTACAGATTAATATTGGAAAGTCTGTTAATATTTTCCAATATTTTTTAAAATCCAAACAGCTCATAGAACCACCATAGAATCACTGAATGGTTAGGCCTGGAATGGTCCTTAAAGATCATCTAGTTCCATTGCCCCTGCCATGGACAGGGCACCTTACACTAGACCAGGGTGCTCAGGGCCCCATCAAGTCTGGCCTTGAACAGCCTCAAGGATGGGGAGTCCATAATACCCCTGGGTAAATGTTCCAGTGCCTCACTGTCCTCACAGTAGATAATTTCTTCTAATATCTAACCTAAAACTATGCTCTGTCATCTTACAGCCATTTCCCAAAAAGATGAATAAAAACCAAATATAGATAAAGAATCTAATTAGGTAGAAACAACTGCTCATAAACAAAAATTTTTAAAAACCCTGTGCATGTGAGTTCTCTTTGCTAGATCCTCTTTTTATGAAAAAAAAAATAAAGTAAAACTTCTTTTACAAGTAATAATATCTGCTTTGATTCTATACAAAAATAAATAGAGATAGATAGATAGATAGATAGATAGATAATAGATAGATAGATAGATAGATAGATAGATAGATAGATAGATAGATAAATTTGTGCTATTGATGCCAAAGCAAAATACAGAGCTTGTCTGTATTAATGTACTTTTTATGCCTATTCTTGTTGTTCTCATTGGAAATTGTGCTACAGAAGGAGCTTCAGAGTAAAACCTTTAGATTTTCTGGAGAACAGATTCTATGATGCCCTAAAAAATAAATAAATAAATACAAATCCTCTAATACAATGTTGCGTAAGGAGTTGGATCAATATTTGGCTTTTTTTCTCAGGCTTTTAATTTAAGAGATTTTGGGTGACATTCAATGAAGTATTGCTTCTACAATACCTACATATTGAAAACAATAAAATCATAAAAGTTGAAGAAAACACTAGTCCAGTGTAAATATATGCTTGCTCCCTTGTGTGACAGTTCCCATAGAAAAGAGAGAGCATGAGCAATGTCATTAGCCAATGCAGCTAAGTGCATAGATAGATAGATAGATAGATAGATAGATAGATATTTGTGTGTGTATATGTATATATATATTGATATACAAGAAGCATACCAGGGCTCTAAATGAATGTTTCATAGGCCTGGCACTTGCCCAGATCAGGACTTGTTAAGCCATTGTCACAAAGTTTGTACCTTGATTAACACAAGGTCCTGATATAATGTCATCTGTTAAATTTTTAAATAAATTTGATTTTTTTTTTTGGTTTGGTTTGGTTTGGTGTTTTTGTTTTATTTTCTTGGAGGAAAGATGCTGAAGTGTTTTTTGGAATATCTGCACATTGTTAGCACTGCCCAAGGGCTAGTGGTGTTTGTACTCTACGTGCAATGCACTGCATGGGATTTTATTGTAGCAATTATTGTAGTTCATTAACTTTATTACAGCTGGATTAAAATAAAATTTGGTTTAACAAACTATAAACTAATAAAACCCATATTGTTTATTTAAAATGATAACAAAGAATCAAACCCTTGGATCATTTAAAAGGACTGACAGAAGTTAAACTGATCTTCAAGAAATGCAAGAAAATGCCCTCCTCAAATGGAGGCTGCTTTGCCTGATGTTCCTTATAGCACATCACCGTGTTTATGCAAATATTACTTTCCTGCCTTAACCCTGTCTTCAGCTCTGTGCTATCTATTTGGGGACTCCAGCTTCTTGAGACGATGTGAGCCTCATTCTGCAGGACCCCTGTTGAGATTTGCACATCCCTGACAGTTAGAACAGGCATGAGGAGATCAGGCAACCTGATGATGAAGGCAGACTTGAGCAAGCACCACGGGACTTGAAGACAGACAGACCTAAATGCAGAAAAGTAGCAAGGGACCTCATTGGAGTGATGGGGAAATCACACCTGCTTCTTTCTTTTCAAATGTGTCATTTAAACTCTTGGCTTTGATTGGTTTGAGAAATGGACTTGGAGGGTGATCAGACTTAGCAGCACTTGTGCCAAGTTCCTCACTTGGCACTTGTCTCCTTAAGGCTGCCAACATTCTGCTGAGGCTCAGCTAAGTATGTGTACCCTGGAGCCCCATGGGGTCCTCTAGGCCTAATCATTTCCACTTATGTTAAGTGTCTGGGCCAACTAAAATGCTATCAATATCTTCTCCAGAGGCTTTTGTATGGGCACACAGGAGCAACAGGAGATGGCAGCTGGGAATACTTGGAATTAGCACCCCACTTCACCCTGGAACTTCTACAGAAAAGGCAGTCAGTTACTTTAAACAAGTATCAGAAATATCAAATAACATCTAGGAGTTCACCCAGTTGGAAACTAAAAAGATGTTCCTCATGTCAGAAATGTTGCCCTTCCAAATGCTGGCAGCACCCATGCATGGTGTATGAGGTACTGCACGAGATTGTCATGAGAAGGGCAGGTGCAAAATTAGGATGATGAAGATTGCTTCTGATATCTTTCTGATAGAGGCTCAAGCCTTTATATATTTTTATATCCTTACCTGGTATATTTTTCAAATATCTACTCACCTCTGTTCATTTTGACTCCAATTTCAGTGTGTATACAATTGCTGGTATATTTGGAGTAGTGACAGGAAAATACTATGATAGTCAGGGACCTCAGGATCTGTCATATTAGAAGAAAACCTAAGATCTCAGTAAACTTAGCAAAACAAAGCCCAGATGACTGGTTATATACACATCAGGCTGGAAAATATCTCAGAGAGTGAAAAGCTATTTACAAAGGTTTAAAGCTATTTTGAAAAGATTGGCACAAGAACAAATAGGTATAAACTGCCCATGACTAGCTTCAGTCTGGAAACTAGGGGATTTATAACCAGGAATGAGGTAAACATCTGGAACAGCTATCTTCTGTTATGGGAAGAAAAAACATTATAACTACTTCTAAGCAGCAGCAGCAGCTTGAAATATGTCTTGTCTTACCAGCAGATACAGGGTGGATTTAAGAAGCAGCAAGTTTTGCTTACTGACCCGCAGATTTGACACTCTGCTGTTATCTGAATCCTGGAAGCACTGCTGCTGGTGGCGTCACTGATAGAGATGTTTTAGTGTTTGTGGCCATTGGCAGTGAATGGTATTTGAACTGAAACTTTTTAAAGAGTCAGTGGAGACTTTTGCTGACCGGTATGTCTGTAGTGAGCATGTCTCAATAAAACCAAAAGATTCTCTAAATGTTTTTCCCGTATTGTGCAATTAAATCTGCATACAAGTTGCCCTTAATATAATTTGTTGTATGCAAATATCAGATCCAATTCTGCCAGCTTTACTTATGTTAAGTAACCCTCAAACAAATAGTTTCTATGAGGCCTCAGTGGGATAACTCACATAAGTGCTGCTGCACATGATGAAAGGTGGCAAAGCTTGGCTAGAAATGACCAAATATGATTCTTCCCTATTATTTTCAGCTTCCAAAGGGATGAAACAGAAACATCTTTTTATAGCTGATTGTCAGAAGATTTTTCCTTGGATTTGGGCCACCCCAATAGAAAGAAATGTCCCAAATGCAGGCATATCTTATTAAGCAAATGTAGAGGCTTATTCCTTGATTTTCACTATTAGTGCAAGAGTTTGCAGGGCCAACTGTAGGGCAAAGACAGATCAAACAACAAATTTTGGAAGTTGGTTAATAGTACTTTTCAAAACGTCTCAGCACCAACA